ATACCTTCTTTTTTTACAGAATCTTTTCGGAACAGCTCTGTTTCATGTCACTTTCATTTTATTTTTCCTTTTTCAAGAGCAGGAAAAAATTTCAGAAAATGATAGCAACGTGCAGTTGTTTTGTTTGTAAATTTCTCCTTGGTTTTCAACAATTCAATTGTTAAGATTACTTTAAAAGGGTGGATTTTTTTTGCCATCTATATATAGAATGTTATGCTATTTTTCCCCCATTTTCTGTGCAATCTAACATATGCTGCTTCTTTTATAACATACTTCTAAAATAGAACTTGTCTCAATTTCATTACATATCAAAATTGAGAAATTTCATTACATATCATTAATGATATCAAGTTCTATTTTAGAAGTAAATGAAAATTTTCAATTATTTTTACCAGTAACCTAGCGGTATCAGGCTCCTACTTCTCACAAAGAGGTCCGGGTTTCAAGCATCGGTGGAGGCATGTTGTGTGAGTACCAACTAAGTAAAAAAAATAGAAGAAATTTCTCAATTTTTTAACCCTAGCTTGTTTATGGAAAATTTGTTAATTTATTTTCATTCTAGAGAATTAATGGAAAAAATTATGGTGTCAAATAAATAAATAAATAAACCTTTGTGTTTTGATAATTGCTGAATGCTTCGTTGCATAGAATCCATGAATTTGCTTCACAAAATGTCTTAAGATTGAGTTCAAGAGACCTTTTGGTAAACCAAACTACAATATTGTTAACTTGGCATGATATAGGTTAATTGAGCCTTGGTTGAAGACAACAAAGCAACCGGAGGATGGGTGAGAATACAGGCAATCACCAGCGGAAAGAAAGAGACTAGATGGGCTATATGGAGTGTATACTATGTGCTTGCTGCACTACTTCATGCCCTTCCTATTGGTGGAATCCAGAGGAATTCCTCAGCCCAGCTGCCCTTCTCCAAGCTTATCGTTGGATCTCCGACAGGTAATTCGAGAACTTAATTAATTGAATTAGTTTCTACTTTATTACTTAGGTATCGACAACTAAGAAATTGAACAATTACCTTTCGGGAAAAAATATATAGTAATAAAATAAAGTGAACAATTCAGTACACCCTGCTTCTTGTCATACTCTTTTGGCTCTAATTAATGATATTTGATCATAATGTTCTGAAGTTGAGCTCATGTTTAATCATATCATTGGCCAAAAAGAGTTGAGATCATACTCTTTTGGCTCTAATTACGGTGAACGAGCTAAAAAGTTATTACTATCCATCAAGTATGCTCAAAGTCAGTCTTTGTACTTCTTTTAAGTTCCAACTCAGAGAACAATGCAAGTGTAAAGACCGAAAATTTGGGGACAATCACTCATATGATAGTTTTATCGACGAAGTGTTCGATTTGTATCTAAATGCATGACATTTCATAAAATATGAATACAATTTGTGCAATTGTGTCAATACTATTTAAACATTTTTACGCTATGTTTGAGAGTAATGAATCGGCGGCTTAGATTTGGATTTGGAATTCAAATAAATTTAGTGAAAACTTTGAACTAATTTTCCTCCAATCTTAAATACAAAGCACTAATTCGGTGCTCCCAAATGCAACATAAGTGTTTATTAATGTTTGATTCATATTTCTATGTATTATCATAATTTATTGAAGTTTATACATTAAAACAATCTGATTTATGTTTTTCTATGTGCTCAATTCTTTCTTTGCAGTCGAGATGAATTCACAGATGAGCGATTGCAGGCATTGACGGAGGACGAAAAGCGTTTGTATCGATGCAGGACTATCAAAAACTGTACAAAGACATGCCCCAAAAGCCTGGACCCTGCAAAAGCCATACACAAGATGAAGACTAGGCATCTGCTTTCACTACCAGTTGAGAGGCTTCAAAGTGGCCGGTAAATTACTACCATTTCCTTATTTGTATGTTTTCTTCTCCCCATTTAGAGTGGGAGCTAGGGCTATTGTTGGATCCCTTAAAGAGGGTAGATTGAGGTGATTTATGTGGGCTGGCACGAGACAATAGGTAAATTTATTTATTTATTTTTATTTTTTTATTTCCGAAAATTGAAGCTAATATATAAATAAAAGGAAACTGTACAAGAGAGGCCTTTGGCCCAAACAAACCCATCCAGGATGAGATACAAAGGAGTCCAAAGACCCAAACAACTACACGGCCCACGGCCCAATTAGAAAACAAACAATCCAACAAAATGGTGGACCTGGTACAATTCCGGTCAGCGAGCTTTGGAACATATCTCCCGAGTGTAGGCATGTTGCGTCCCCACTTTTTAGACAATCACTCACTCTCATATCTCTTCGCATCCCTCTTTCTTATGTTGTCTTTTCAGAAAATTGTAGTGATATGGATAGAACTCATTTGTTTGGTTCTTGAATTATACATATGTACTCACAATTTCTTTTAAACGTTGTACATCAAAAACTGCTTGGGAATTTTCCTAGAAAGTTCCCATGCCTGGTTTTTGACATTTTTTCCCCCCACATACAATTGTCATATTCCTAAGGTGCGAGCTCATTGTCAGCCTTAATCATGTACAACAATCGTTTTGAGGGTAAAAAAACATTGCAGGCCAGAGACAACCATGAATTGTTAAGAGTAGTGCTCAATAAGATTCTATACCCACTTGGTAGAACATAATACCAGCAATTTTTAGTCCAGTAAAGTTGCATTTGTTTTTGTTGAGAAATTGAGACCGCAACCAATTTAGGGAAAGAAAGAGACTGATTTATGGACCAAATTCGTTAACGGATTCAAATTATGTGAGTGGTGAATAGCATTTGTTGCATGACAACTGATCTTAATTTGCTTTATAGGTTTGTTAAGTTGTGACTTTTTATCAATTAAAAGCCAAAAGACTAGGTGAAATAAATAATATGGGTTGGGTGATGGTTTCACTTTTTTAACATAATTTTTTCAATCTAATTGCAAAGTACTCAATCCGTTATGGTTGGTATTAGAGTCGGATACAGTTATTAAATCGGTGTTATGCCAAGCTCTCGGTCCAGACGGCAGGGTGGCTCAGTTACAACGAGGGTGTTGTGAGGTAAGGTGTTTGTACTTTTGTAACAAAGCATTTTTTGCATTGTACATTAACATTGTAGCGAAAAAAAAAAAAAAAAATCAATCGTCTGTTTGGCTAATGTTTTTACTTCGTATTTTTTGTTTTTGCTAGTGTATTGTACCAAAGCAAAAGCACGAAACATATTTGGTAATATTTTATGTGCTTTTGAATAGTATCATAGCGCTTCTAAAATTGAGACCAAAATCGGAAGTATCAAAATGATACTTTTGTTTGCTTTTCGCATGGTAGAAAAACAATGTTAAAAAAAAAACATTTCTAAAGTAACATTTTTAACTAACCATTCAAAATTTCAAACTTATAATACTTTTTACCAAACACGCTTTCATGTTTTTACTTCTAAAAATCTTGTATAAATATTGTTGAACATACTCTAAAAGTAGAAATATTGCTTTGCTTCGGGTCAAAACAAAAGCACAAAGCAACTATGGTTGCCAAACAAGCCCGGCCATTTTAATTTTAAAACTTTCATATTTTTATGTTTAGGCTTTAAAAATCTTGTAACAAATTTTATATTACAAAATATGCTTTCAATCACTATTAAATACACTTCACAGCAAAAATATTACTTCTATTTCGAATAAAAACAAAAACTCAAAACATTTCTGATTGACAAATATGCTCTTAAAGATTTCACTTTTTGATTTACCTTAATTAGGTTTTGTTACAATGTACCTCCTTTGTCACAAGCTCACGAGGAGGGGTGCCAATTCGGTTGGTTTAGACAGATTTTGGACAAATCATGAATCAGCTAGTTAGTAATAAGTTAATAACCCGTTATCAACTCATTCATAGTGGTTCATAAACGAATTAGGTGTTAAATGGGTAAATCAAACCACACCTAACCCAATAATCCAAATATTTTTAGACACAAATTGTTAAGTTATTTTGATTGCTGAATATCAAAATATATATATATATTGGTAAATAATCCATTATAATTTTACCTCATACATATATAATATTGTACATACATAAATACACAACTATGTTTGCATTTAGTTTTTTCATTTTTGACAGTTATATATACTTGTATATAACAATATGTTGTCTAAATTTGGGCAAGAATATTAATTTGTATGGCTACTAAAATATGAATAAAATGAATTGGAGTCTTAAGCTGCTTGAATAAATACAAGCAACTTTAGGAAATAAAAAAACTAGAAGCGTGTATATATATATATACACACCATATATTATAGTATATACATATGGTTTATATATATACTATTTACATGGAGGAGATAGAACCAAGGAGTGGGAAGACAGAGCAAAAGGGGGATAGAGTAAAAAATGGTTTTGTTTGACCGGTTTAAATGAAATGGGTATTCACTTTTAATTTGTTATTGACCCATTTATTGTAATGGTTATTCATTTTTCACCCATTAACAACTCATCAGTAATTTAATTTTATTAGACGAGTTTAGGCAGTGTAATGAGTTTGCGTATAAATTACAAGCCATGAAGAGATAAAAGTGTGAAATAGTTAAAATTAAATTACCTGTTTGGTTCAGGAGGAAACAACTTAAAACAAATCATAGATTCTGACTTTTCATTATCTTCATCCTATAAGGGCACTAAACATAATTCTCCAAGGTACCAACTTTGATCAAATCATGATGAGGATCCATAATGAAAATAACATGGTAATGCAATCCATTATATTTAGTAAACATGACAAGTTTGACCATTATTTGAAACACTTCTTTACAAAACTTTTCTTGTCAGTAGTATTCAATTAATGCTTATTAAAGACCTTGAAGCCAAAGGAGATAAGGAGGCATAAATAAGCTTTCCCACCGACAAAAATCAAATCTCACCAAACCTCTATACTCATTTTTTATTATTTCCAATTTTATACCTAACTAAAATTTATTGATTCGGTCTCTCACCATGCCCATGTAGAAGCAAGGGCTTAGGCTAACACTGACTTATATTAATAATAGCATTAAAGTGATAACAAGTAGACATATTGGACAAACATGCAACACACATCCATTAAAAAAAAAAAAATGTGGGCCCATTAAGAGCCATACAAAGTCTTACATAACAGACACAACGGATGCATCAGAGCCCTTGATCATGTTGCGGTCACCATCAAGACCCTTACCATCCACACAATTGTTCCTGATTGCGGTGAGCTCGTACGGAGATGTGTCCAGTGCTAGCCATTGCTCCACCGTGAATAGCTGTTGGGCGCAAGGGATGTGGGCCCCAGTGGAGGTCACCTCCACATAGTTGCAGTACCAGCCGTGGTGATCACCCGACCCATCGGATGTCAGGTTCATCGAGCACATCGACCCGGTCAAACATGGCCCTCTACCGCTGAAGATGTCCAGGTTACCCCTCTCGAAGTAGTTGTATTCCGGGCCCATCAGCCCGCCCCAGGCCTCCAGATTCGGGATCCGAATCCCCCACCCATTGGTGTCGTACAGCGTTACGCTGATTTTCGAGTCCGTCCCTCCCTTAAAGATCGACCCGGTCCTAACGTACACAGTGTACACACAATCATCGTCCTGCATTCACAACTCACAACATACATCAATATATATACTTGTATTTGTGTATATATATATTATATGATGGAATTGATAATTAACTTACGGATCGAGCGATTGTAGCGACGGAGAGGACGATGAAGAGTTGGAACCAGAGACGGTTGATCTTTCCCATGGCTTTCCTTTTTCTCTCTCTCTAGATCGCTCTCTCTCTCTAGAAACGCTACCTTGGAAGGCTGTGATGAGACTTCGGCGAGCGCCTGTGTATCCATTATATAGAGACTTTATGGATATAGATGAAAGGCACATGCTCATATTGACTATTTTGGGGAAAGATCTGGTACTTCGCACAAGCTGGGACGTTCCTTCTTTTACCAATGATACCTCGTCAGTGGCACCAAGTTGCACTCTCCGACTTTGTATGATTACACGGCTGTTTTTAATTGGTTTATATAACATAAAATTTATTTGACGAAACAGCTTATCTATTTGTTTTTTTTTTTGAAAAATAGCTTATCTGTTTGTTTATCCCATTAAATGGTGATTTGCGGCCACCTGTCTGATGGGTTTGATATAAAATATTCTTTTTAGTATTATTCTTTTTGTGAAATTACCATATTACACACCTTGTTGGTAAGAAGGACAAAGACATTGGTTTGTCACGTGCTGACAACATATTTTGAACCCTTGAAATAATGAAGGAAAGAGGAAATGGACAATATATATATATTTCTTGGGTAAATGAATGGGCAATATTTTTCTTGGTATGCAATTATTAATTTTGTTGGCATCTTCATTATCACATGAAAAATTTAGTACTTTTAACCATGGTTGGTCCACCACCAAGGCATAATCCAGTGGGCTGCCAAAGTGATCCAAATGCAACGTGTGGTTGATTTCTCTACTAGGAAACAAAAAAAAATTATTAGAAATTATTCGATAATGTTTTGAAAAGTAATGTTATGCTTTATTTATAATTTATTAATATATTTTTATATAATTATATTTTAAATAAAATGGTGAACTGATCACTAAATATTAATGGATCACAATAATTTAATAATTTTTTTTTTTTTTTTTTTTTTTTTTTTTTTTTTTTTTTTTTCTGTGAAGGCACTCAAAGTTTTGATTTCATAATTCACGTTGTCAGCACAGACTTCGAATTTTAAGTAAGAAATGTAAGACTAAAATTTTATATTAATTTCAAGAAAACATTAACAATTGTCAGTCCACTTACACATAAGTCTGTCCTGCATGTTGTTCAAATGAGCTATACATGGTTCAACGTTGCACAACTACTTTGGAAATTAATATTGGAAAATAATTGCTATTACTAGCTCATCAATGCATTACCAGGAGGAGAGGAGGTCGGGCTTGTGGTAGAATTATGGTTCCCAACGAAAACACAAGAATAACTTGTGACTCGGATGAGTAAACATGATTCCACAACAAAGATAGGTGTATACTGTGTACAATTTTAAGAAGATCCAATTCTTTTTTGTCATTTTTTTTCCGTCCATTTTCTCGCTCTACGAATGCTCTACTTAAAACACACTTGGACTCAAGCTTGCTCTACTAATGCCCTACTTAAAACACACTTGGACTCAAGCTTCAAGTATTCAGTTTCAACCAGACATAACAGCCTTAGAACTTGAATCAAGTACATCCTAGGCAAGATTTGATCAGTGAGTGAGTGATTCTTTTCTTCTACTTTTTGTCCTTTTTGGTTTCTCACTTTTACCAGATTTGAAGTTTACATACTAGGTGATCATATCCTCATATACCACTGATATTCACAAATTTTCTTAATATGCGTCTACATAGTTAAGAAATGGATCGTGACAAATAATATTAGAACTATTTTCCATCCGAAAAATGAGAAAGAGTGCACAAGCCCATGAGGGTCAAGCCAGTAAAAACACTGGGTCCTAATAGAGGATGTGATTATGACATCTCAGATCGCATGGGAGAAGATCTTTTGATGATACTTATATATGTGTGGACACCTACTGACTGTGTATACGTGTTTTGAGGAAAATCATGATCACCAAGATGAGAATGTCCAAATCGAACAATATTTACATAATATAGGGTACGCCTTGACAAATAGTTATTTGTGTGTCAGACAAATGAAAATTTAGCAAATCATATTTTTCTTACAAAACTAAGAAAATTGTTATAGGATGTAAGGTTTATGTTATCGAAAACTTTACCATCAAAACTTGGAACTTGCTCATTTACCCATATTTTTAATCCTTTTCAATTTGGGTTAATACATTAATCTTCCTTTAAGTTTAGCCTAATTACACTCAGATGAGTTTGTTTTTTAAAATCTTGTACTGTGTACCCCTGACACTTGGTGACTAGTTACAAATACCCCATTCACCCAAAAAAATCGCATAGTATGACCGAAATCGTATCCTTCTTTGTTGGCCTTGGGTGCATTGTGAACTTACCACACTAATCCAAAACTAAATTTTTTTCCTAAATCACAAAGTAAAAATTAAATGCAAGTAAAGTAAAGAAAGTTAGAGATTGACATTGATTTTTAGCATGGAAACCCTATCGAAAAAAAAAATTAAAAAAAAAAAAACCTGACCTGACTGAACCACAGAAACTTTCACAGTTTCTTGAAAAATGATAAACTATTTTCGAAGTAAAGTACAACAAACTCTATCTTAAGCTTACATTCCCACAGTTTGACAAAGAATTAGTTGTTGAACGTCTTTGACTTTGCGACTCCTTATCCAAATTAACGTTATAGACTTCAGGCTTACTCCTCAATCGTTGTAGAAGGATACCGACTCGAAGAACATGAACATTCCGCTAATGCTGTGTCCCATTCGTCGCTCAATTGAATCCTTCTTTCTTCAAGTTTTGAATTTGTGAAGGGAAACTAAAACCCTACTTTTCTGAATGAATCTTCGATTGCACACTTAAACTCTGACCAGAAAGCGAACATCAACCTAAATCATTTGTATATTTAAATGTGTACTCTCAAGTTGAAAAGATAAAACACTAAGAAATATATCTCAAAAATCTCAAATATTGTTGCAAGTTGTCTCAAAAGCCGAATCAATTTATGAGAGAAAAAATACTTAATTAGACATTAGAGAGTCATACCCTAACTTGGTAAATCATGGTCGTACATGGACATCCGAACCTATCTAGTACAAAAAGGAAATTAAGAATAATTGAAAAAAACTAAAGTTTCCTTTTCAACGCCGTAGAGTGCGACCTGTCGGACTGAGTTGGCTGGATTGGTCAAATTTTAGTAGTTGCACATTTTGAATTTTTGAACAATTCTATTCGATCAGGAAGTGTCAAAGTGCGACCAATCCAAAATAAGTTTCACTGATCAAACTTTGCCAGATTAATTACACTTTAAAGTTCAATTTTGTCTCAAAAATATTCTATATGCAACCTAACTGGATTAAAAATAAAAACACATTGTGCATTGTCACTTGCATACCAGTACTAAATGATATTCTTATCAAATCAAATTTAAGTTTTAGGTGGTAAAGTCCATACCCAAATTTAGTTTTTATATATTACCATAACACGAGTAGCATATGGTCTTACATCATTGCATCATAACACGAGTAGCATATAATTGATCATTGGAATATAATTAAAAATACCAAACATATATAAAAATAAGCCTCCCATTGTTTCTTTTTGGATTGACCAAGTAAACCATCTAAAAATAGGCTTTGTGCGGACAACCAATTATCGACTTGATTGTCCAACGTTTGTTACTTCCTTCTGTCATTCTGTGTAATTTACCAACTTACCAAAAAAACAAAAAAAAAAAAAATTGTAACGTGACGTCCTCTCCCTCTCTCATAACACCTTTCAGTTATCCAATCAACCTCCATGCTAACTCCTATTCCCATGCAAACTAACTCCCTTCATATTTTGATATATTTCTGCCAACCTCTTTCCTTTCACGGACACCGCTCCCCATCTTCCCATGGAGGAGCGGGTCGGCAGCGCAAACGATGAGCACCCAGATTACCTCTACCCACCACCACCACCACCTGACTCTGCCGATGATACCTACATCATTCAAATCCCTAGGGATCAAATTTATCGCGTTCCACCTCCAGAAAATGCTGTTATTGCCCAAGGTTACCGCAAACCGGTCGAACAAAAGAGCAAAGGTTGCCGCGGTCGCTGCAAGTGCATTTGTCTATGCCTCATTGTCACCGTTGCTCTTATCGTTGGCATTTTTCTAGCGAAGATTTACTTGTTTCCGAGCCCTAAAAGCCCTCAATTCTCCATCAAGAAAGTCCTCGTCAAGACTCCATCGTCTTCTTCAAAAAATTATTCCTCCCCAAGCTATGAAATCTCGTTGAAAGCTGAGAATACAAATGACAAATATAAAATTTCTTATGAAAATGGCGGAGGCTCCAAGCTTTCTTTCAAGCAGCATAAAATTGCAGAGGGGAAGCCTCCGTCATTCTCCCAAAATGAAAATGAATCAAATGATGTTCGAGTAACCCTAGCCGGCTCGAAAGGGACATTGCCAAGTGAGGTTGCAAAGAGTCTGAATGACACGAAGGCGAAAACGCCTGTCTCTTTATCTCTAATGATCAATGCACCGGTGAAAATGAAGGGTTTGATCTCGACGAAGGATAAAGATGTGACGGTCACATGTGATTTTAAGGTGAACACGTTGGCTACCGGTACGAAGATTTTATCTCAAGAATGTAATTCCAAGTTATAGCTAGCAGCCCTAAAGAGAATTCTGGTGGAGACCATGCATGGCAGTGAAGAATATTAATGCTGTCATTCTCTTATGCTATATTAGAGTTTTTAGTTTTTATTTAATTTAAATTGTTTTTTTTACTTTTTAATTATTTCAATTTGCATTGCATTTTCAATATATTTTGGCCAGCACAAGCGTAAGAAAAGAGGGGTTACGAAATTTTTTAATCTCTGTATCACTGTATGGAGTTGAAAATTATTTACTTTTGTGGTTTATTGCATCTAAAATTAGTGTTTAAATATGTTTGCTAGCATCTCAATTCCAGACCTTAGATAGAATTGGAATTGAAATTGAAGATTCTATCATTTCAATTTTTAAACTAGTTTTCCTCTCATTTCATTAATTTTAACACATATTCCATGCCACCCGACACAAAAGTGGCATATTAGATTTTTCATTTTAGGCAATCACATCTGGAGTCTCCATAATATTATTCTTTAATTTCTCTTGGTTTTAAATTCTTTTTGTTCTTTTCATTTTTCATATAGTTGTATTTATTTATTTTTTTTTTCCTTTGAAGGTAATGTGTACGCTTTTTTTCCCAATGAATAGTACTTTGTAGAAAAAAAAGTTGTAGAATTGGTTTTTCTTTGGCTCACTGTTACTTGTTTTATGTTTGCTTTAATAATATATTGCTGCAATCTAATTAATCTTCTAAATGCATGGTAAAAGTCATAGCGTCAACTAATCGCAAAACGTATCAATTTAGACCTTTATGTCTCCTATGGCGAATTTCCTGCTTTTTCATTTTTTAATTATTATTTTTATTTATTATTATCATAAAAAATAAAAAAATAAATAAAAATTTGTGGATAGGAGAAGGGGAATAGACAAACCCATCGTGTCTTTTTTATTTTCCCATTTTTTTAAGGATTTTTTTTAAATAAAGAAGCAACAAACACACCTGTTTTATATTATTTCTTAATAGAATCTAGTAGAAATAATATAAATGCTTATTATTAAGAAATAATATACTAACTTTTAAGAAATAATTATTTACTAACTTTTAAGAAATAATATACAATCCACTAAAGCATTACAACCATCGTGATTAGGGACTTGTTCATTGATCCAGAGCGACAGAGGGCCTAGTTTCAAGCAACGTGGACCTTTCATGGGCCAGAGCGAGGACCTAGGTTCAAGTTAGACCATTCTAACTTTTTTGTTTTCTTTTTCTTTTTCTTTTGGTGACAATGGTGTCAAGTCCTTAAAAAACAACATAATCTACTACCAAACATATGCAATCCCCGTTTCATATGCAAAACATTCATGGTGCCGCTTATTGAAGAGAAGAGTAATTTGTATACATTTAGTCTGTCATTCAAGTTTGAGTTTGTTTATGCTACAATCATCCTACTGATCCTAGGTCATTCATTAAAGTCCTTAATCTCAAAGTGCAAAGCAAAGTCGACTGTGAGACAGAATTTAATTTAAATGGAACTTCAAAACCAACATTTCGCTCAGATTTCATTAAGAAATTAAAGAGAAATACAAGTAAAAAATGGTGACAAATAACCATGACAATGTAGTCTTAAAATTGAATCTGATCATCTTCATTCTAAATTCGGTAGGCCAAGTGTTATGGATAAGACGTAGCTGGGCCCAACATGAAGCCCAAATGAAGCACAACGTTTCTGCAATATATAATTCTGGGTCTCAGATTAAACTTGGCTAAAGGTGCTCGTTCGAAGTAATTGGTCCATTTGATAGATTTTAGGATGCAAGCCTGCTAGAATTCATAACTTTTCTTACTGTGTTTTTAATTTGGGCCAAACAGTTCTGGGTGGGCTCCATAATCCCTATCGTGCTATTAACATTTAACAAATACTGGAATAGTAAAAAAAAATTAATTTATTAAAGGACATTATTATAAAATTAATATTAATATAAGTGCTTTAAATAATATTGTTAACAAATAAATTGAAAATTACTTTAATTGTGAAAAATATTTTATATCATATATCACTAAACACTTAATGTTTTTTTTTATTAAAAAAAAAAAAAAAAAATGTTCCAAACATCACAATATTATAAAAGCTTTATTGATAAAAAAAAATATTTTTTTATCTTTTTAAATAACAACTAACGACACCAAATGGGCCAATAATTAGATTCTTAGCTCCTAGTTGAATCCAAATCATGTAAAGTAGGATGCTTAACTTCCTCTTGGCCTTGGGAGTAATTAAGAAAGTTTAATTAGAGATGTAAAAGAGAATGTACCCTTGCACAACTTTGTAAGGATTCCTGATAACCCAAGAAAAGCTTTTTGATAATAACTTTCATCTTCCCAATTGGTACCTTTGAAGTGTGAACTTGTCATTACATGTTGTTTAGAAGATAGGCTAAGAATATTATTTGATGTTATTTATTTTGTATTTTTAAAGTGGTGGCGGTGGACTGTAAAATTCCTTATCTCACCGCCTCTCTAAGGAATAAGATACATGAAGCATATTTTATGTCATCAGCAACCACCGCCTCACACCACAATGGGTTTGCTGCTGTTCTGTTCCCATCTCCCTTTCCAATCCATACAACAAAATTGGGCCAGTGAAGTGTAACATCATTTCATAAAATAACAATATAATTTAGTTGTTGTTTAAGGTATTAGAGAGTATCCGAGTCCTTCCGAATTCAACTGTTGGGCGATCCCATATACTTCTTGTTACCCACCAAAGATATTTATGTTACAGTGGATGGTGTCGCTGAAAATCAATGGGAATGGTATATTCAAATTTGGTAATGAGAGGTTTGAAGTTCAGGCAATTGTAGAGAGTTTGGAATGACCACCTATCACAAGCTTCTGTGGAAAAAGGATTTTGGAGATGTAGAGATGGAATGGGAAATGATAGAAATGCAGTGAATGAAATTAACTAAACTAGAAGTCTGAAATTCATTCAATAAGAAACTGAAGTAAAAGTGCTGGAAATTAAAGGAATTAAAATACATGTGTGCTTAAAGTAAAGATTGCACTAGGAAAACAAAATTATAAGAATGAAATGACAAATAAATGAAAATAAAGAGTTGTTTGATATATGTGGATATGTCATTCATTCCGTTCAATCTTCTATTTATGGAAAATAGTCAAAAATGGTTACTCCTTCTAATTGTCACCTATTTTTCAACTACAAGTAACCACCTACTTATTTGCGTTCCATGTATTATGCATGTACTTATTTGGCTGTCTCATTCAACAATCATGACCTTCGAATTGCATATAATTGCTTACTTCTCTGTATGCCATATGTCTCATTCAGTTGTCATAACCTTCCAAAGGCCCATTCTTGGCCGGAAATGGTAGACTTGTAATTGCTTATTTCTTTGGCTAATTACTTTTACCCACCAGCAATTAAAATAAAAATAAAAATAAAAAAATTTAATAGTACTAACCTAGCCCAGAATAAATTAGCCCACCCCATTATGCATTTCTGAATCCAATCACCAAATAATTTCCTTTTATGAAGTCACGTGTCTTTGCATGATTACATCCTTATCTACATATCACCCTTCTATTGGGATCGGCCACGTTCATCTTTCCATTGAAATCAGCCACATCAACCTTCCACTGAAAATTGATCGATAATTATGGGATAAACACTTCCTTTCTTAATTTTTTTACTTCTTTATTTTTCTGTTTTTCCTTCTCCCTTTCTTGGTTTAAATAGAGGCAAGGGTTGTTCTTACTTTAGATTAATATTTTTCTAGGCGTTCTTCGAAATGGTCTTCAGTTAGAGATAACAATTATGTTGAATATTTTGTTGTGTTAGAGAGTACGAAATAACTATCTCAATATGAAATTGAAATAAATTTAGTTCAATATTTTAATTAAATTTATTTCAACTATAAATTCAAGCAATTCCCCCATTTCGTTGTAATATACAAATATATACTTGAGTCCACTTAAACACCAACCCTTTCTAATAAAGTAAGTTTTCACGTATGCTGCTTGTATTTGAGTTTGATGTTAACATAATTATGACATCTTCAACCCGCTTAACCTATTTCAAACCACCCCTAAAACAGAATAGACTAGTTCAATTGTCCTGAATGGACTAAATCCAGCTTAAATTCTCGGAATTGAAATTGAAGTTTAACATAGCTCAAACTACTAAATATTTACTAATTGCATATTAAAAAGTTACAATAACATAAAAATGGAACCAAACACTACCCCACAAGCAAACCAAGAATTACAGTTACATAGACAAGGTACTTGATACATTTAAAGGCCACTTTGGTTACACTTATATCCACAACTCTTAACAAACCCAATACTACAAATTCTCCCTCGCCCTCGGTCAAGCATGAGAAAAAATACCAGCAGACCAAGACACAAAGATCTTTCTTTACAGATGAACACAAACTACACACCTTTGCAAATGTCAAGACGACCAATTGCAGAGGCTATGAAAACACCAAAGAAACAACCAAACTAGGAGTACTCAAAGAAGAGGATCATATTGTTATGAGAGAACTAGAGAGCTGCCCAATCTATCTCCTCTGAAGGATACTTCTCCAACATGAAGTTCTCCGATTCATCAAACGATGGCTCCGAGAAGTCCAGCAACGTCATACAGGATTCCGGTGAAGAATCAGACGATGATTCACCGGACAGAGAAGACGGCGACAAAGCCTCCACCTTAATATGCTCCGATCCTGGACACCCGAATTCACCATTTCCTGAATTAACCAAGACGTTCTGAACCTGTGGGACATGTTTTGGCATTGAATCAATGATTGTGGACTTTGTATCAGTTACAAAACAGAGCTCCCCTGAATTCCCCTGTTTCTGCGAATTAGCCAAGTTTTGGCAAATTGCTTGAAGCTTTGCATCCACAGAGGAATGGAGAGGCTTGTAATCTGAGAATTGATGGCCCAAATGATGTCGAAGACTCGGAAAATTGAGCCTAGCAAACTCTCCCCTGAGCTTATAAGCAGCCTCATCGTAGGCCAAAGCCGCTTCTTCAGCTGTATCAAAGGTCCCAAGCCAAAGCCGGGTTCGATTCTTGGGGAGTCTGATCTCTGCAACCCATTTGCCCCAATGCCGCTGTCTCACTCCCCGGTACAGCTTCACCGGCTTCGGCGGAGTTCCAACTTGCTTCATTGGGACAGGTTTTAGGCCAAGGTAGCTAAAGGGTGGTGGTTTCTGTTGCAATTTCCTTGGTGTTTGGTGGTGGATTGAGGACTCTGGTGAAGACAAAGAAGTTAAGTACTGTTGTTGTTGGGATTGTAATTGACTCAATTGAGCTTGGATATGAAGGATCTGAGATGAGTTGAGGTGTTTGAGCCCAATTGAAGGTGTTTGCTCAATACCCAAATGGTTGTTGCTCGAAAACCCTTGAATAAACATGTGTGTGGTTGATGGTGATGAGCTAAAATCAGGGTACAAGATGGGGTCGGAGGAGGAAGAAGCGCAAGAAAAGTCAAGTGGGTAATAGGAAGAACAAGAAGAGGTCTCTGAGAGAGAGAAAGTGGAGTGAGAAGAGGTATTGGTAGTTGAAGCACCGTTCATAAAAGGTTCAAGTGCTTTCATCAGCTCTTCCCTTGAGGGATCTGAGAAAACTGGACTGCTGTAACTGTATATATCTCTAGCTGCTTCCATAATTTATATATATATATATAGAGAGAGAGAGAGAGAGAGAGAAGTATGCTGAAGAAGGCAACCTGTTTCTTATATGAAAACTAAAGAACAGGAGGTTTTGTACACAAACAATGCTAAACGAGGTGAACTTTAGAACAGAAAAGCCAAAAGCAACCCGAGGGACAGAAAAACAAATCCTCTTAGTTGTTTTGATGAGAATAGAAACAAAAAATGAAAGAAAAATCTGGATCTCTAATCTGAATCACCTGACTTTCAAAAAACAGCCTTAGCCTTCTGGAATTGTTGCTTCTTTTGTTTTCAAAGTATTATCTTTAAAATCAACAAAAACAAACCCTCAAAATTGAAGTCTGAAAGAGAGACGATTACCGAAGGGATTCAGAGAAGCGGGATGTTTAGAGAGAGAGAATATGATGAGTAATCACTCTTTTGTTTATGGCCTCACTTTGTTTGTCACACTTGCCTTTATATAAAGCCAAGCCCTTTGCTTTTTTCCGTTACAAAAATAAATTGTTAATACTTGATTACTTGTTGCCCACTCAAATATTATCTAATGAAATTTGGTACACCTTTCATTTCAAAACAAAATCCATATTACTTCTAATTCTTAATTATTACTCTTTCTCTCTCCCTCTGGTCAACTTCAAAACTTAAACTCGCATTTAACGTGTGAATGTGTGATATGTTACCCAATTTGAAAAAGATGGGGATATAAACATTTTAGGGGTAACTCGCGGGAAGGCATATGTGGCCTGATATTGAGTTTAAACGTGGTGACAATATGGTTCACCAAAAATTTTGTTGAGCACTCGTGGCATTTTTGTTTTCTTACATATGGATTTGATGAAATTGGAGGAGAAATTTTTACATGCCCAATCATAACTCATAATTATAATAATTTTTTAATTTTAAAAAACATCACCAATGGATTAAATATGAACACGTAAATACATCATTATAGGACTCACAGAAATAAATGCCCTTTTATTCATATGACATGACATAATTGGTTGTGGACACCCATGACATGATATTATTGTCGCAGAACCAACTAACTTGTATTTTTAAGAGTATATATTCTTGAAATAACAAGGAACAATAAAACTCTCAACAAGAAAAACTTTCCTACACCAATGATTTCAATTTTCAGGAATATTTTGTAATTCATTACCAACACATGCAATCAACCATTTACTATAAATAATCTTTCTTTACATTTTGTTCTATTCTATATCAAAGCAACCTTATTTTTCAAAATACAAAATAATTTCAAAATACTAGAAATAAAGAGTATATATTCTTGAAATAATAAGTATTCCATCTTCCGAATATAAATATATTGTAGAGGGAAAGGTCCTTCCCGATCACGATTCCCTTACCCCAGAGGGAAAAGTCCTTCCCTTTTGGTCCAATTGTGGGCGAGGAGGGATTCGAACTCCTGACATTGTGGTTTGTAGTCACATACTCTAATTCTCTGAGCTACAAGCTCCACCTTGTCTCCACTGGATCTGTTTCCAGGAGTACTCTATAAAAGAGAAATATTTTCTCTCCTTAGCCATTTCGGGTTAAAAAGATGTGAAAGTACTTTTCTTTTTATAAGAACGATGCGCTCCGAGATGTGAAGTGAAAAAGAAAGAATGTCATAATTGGAATTTTCAATTTTCATTTTGAATTTTTTTCTTTTTCATATTGAGAAAATAATAAGGCATCCTAGAATTCCTTAGAGGAGAGGCCCGAATTTTGTTGATTCTTATATTCATTCTTATCTATCTCAGTCAAAGTAGGACAATGGAACTATGAAGTTATCCTTGACCAAAAAGAAGTGGGAAAAAAAAAAATAATAACTATATTATCCCTACCCTAAACATATATTCGTTTAAATATAGGTATTTATCTAACTGAGTTAAGTGTAAATCAAACGAAGAGGAACACGTGGTCTCAACTAAGTTATGGCGTTAGACCTTTTTGAATTATTGTTGGTTAGGTGTCATCGACGTGGACATGAAATGCAGCCACCCACTTTAAATCCTCAATGGGTTCCATTAAGTCAATTGAAATTTTTAATTGCCAATATATGAAGCCCCACTATGTTTTTGCGTTTACTTTTTAATGTATATTCTTGACTTTAGAATTAGTTGACCTTTACATTTGTCAACTCTCAACACCACAATTGAATGCCACCAAGACCATCTCTGGTGATAATGATGCTTTATCCTCGCAAATCGACCTAATTTCACAATACTATATAATCGAAAACAACAATCTACAGCTCAAGTCAACGCGAATGAATGAATATATATATTATATTGCCACCATATTGTAATCAGCATGAATAAGAAAGGGTTGACTTTAGAATGTAACGAGTATTATTTTCGTATCATCTTTGAATGCACTAGTTATATGCTCATCAAACTGTTCTATGTCAGATTAATAAATAAGAAAAAAGGAAAAAATAACTTGTCAAGAAATTTATAAGGTCCATTATAATATGCTAAAATGATGCATATATGTTCATTGGGTATTCCAATGACCCAATATATTCTCACTTTCCACACATACTCCTAATACTTGATAATTCCTTCTTAAAAGAGATCTGCAACAACTTTCAATTTCAGAAAGGAAAAAATAAAAAAATAAAAATTGATTTCCAACCAGAAACCAAAAAAGAACACTTACAATTGATGATTAAATGAGCTTAAAATCTAGGTGGCCTGTAATTCAAATATGCATTTCGAGCAGTTTCACTTTTCTGTCGAATATCTTCATACATTTTTAGTGAAGCCTCAGAGAACTTGGTCAATCTATCAAGAACCTTTGTCAAACTAGTATGTGTGCAGCTTAAATTTGAAGACATATCATCATCTGTATCCTGTAATTCTCCAGTGTTGCTCGAATCAAGTGTTCTTTGTTTTTTCTCCAGTTCTGCCACTTGCTCGAATAAGGCTTTGATGGCATCACTAAGTTCATGAGATGGCAAAGCTTTGATCCCGGCTGACCATTCACGACAGAGAACAAAGATAGGCGGGGCCAGAACTCGACGAGGAGAGAATGCCCTTCTGCCCTTGGATCGCTCCTGTGGTTGCAAGATGCACTTCTGCAGCCAACCGTTGACGGCTTCCACGTATGATGCATTGCTGTTGATCCAATCTGCAAAGCTCAAGCCAAAGCATTCAATCTCGTGTTGGAGCTGAGTCGATATCTGCCTCTGCATATCCCCATGGGGTGTTCTTGATGAGCTCTTTGCATCGTATGCTAGTGATATTGTTATGTATTGCGCATGATGGCATTCATGCATGGCCTTCCACATCCTTATCAATCTGCATACGGCCCGGAGGTCACAGATCTGTTAATTATGATATAGCACATCCAAATGTATATTGTCCAGCTATAGATTTTAAAGACCTTTAACAAACTGAAATTTTTAATCTAATTGTCATTGTAAATGAATGAAACTACAACTTCTATCTCACCCCTGAATCAGTTCTACAAGTTGTGGCTGCAACTCTTCATCTCTCATTTTCTCGATACGCTTTGATATTGAATCAACAGCATGAAGAGCCACTCCAACTTGTGAATGTAGATCTTTCGCCACTGCTCGGGTTTTATCAATCACTTGGGCACTAAGATCCTTTGCAAATTGCTGCCTAAGTTGGTCACACTTCCCGTCATACTCCTTCCTGACAGATTCACTGGCCTACAGAAGGCGAATAGGTGAAAAGAAGATGCAACCTTATATCAGAGATAGATCTTATAAGAATTAGTACCACATCAACAATAATAAGGACATCATAACCGTCAAGACAGATATCAGATGCCAAGTTAACTTAAGATGACTAATAAATGTCAAAAGATGCCAATAGATACATTCTTCACATCTGAGACAGCAAATTTTCTAGCGGATTCTCAATAAAAATTCATTTCCAAAAGAAAATATATCACCTATGTGGAATTCTAGGAGGGAAAGGCCGCAGACTGGTCCCCTCTCAACACCCTGCGTAGGCAGAATATACGGTAGGTGGGATATACACAGGCTAGTGACTTTAATCTGAGTTTTACATTTACCAAACGAATCAAATTGTTTCAACAAGGAAGCTAATCATTCTTCAAATGACAGACTTGAAGGTTACCCCACACTTTAGAAGATCAATACGGTCATCCTATATTACATTTGCTTTTTCCGTTTTATCTAGTTCTTATTATTGGTCAACAATAGCTCATAAGAATTGGTAAATGAGCTCCGACCTTTGGTTTGTTGTCATAAAATTTTCCTATATAAGCCCCATATCATGAATTTAGAAAATTCCAATTTTTATTTTATTTTTTATTTTTAGCACTTATAAAATTGATAGGACTTATGTTTGAACTAATGGTTCATGTAGTTTCTAACACAATAAAAGAATTGACCACAAGTACTGAGTTTTAGAACATTAATTAACGCTAATGTCAGCATAACTAATAATGCACACAATAGTACTGACATGTCCCTCAAGTAAGATGAAGACAGCAGCGGCAAAACTAGATTGGCAGAGATGTGAAAGACTATAGAACAACTGGGGCAAAATTGAACAAGAACAAAAGGTAACAAAGTTTATAGTTTCGATACTGGTTATTTGTGTGGTTTTCACTGGAAATCATCATGCCTCTCTTCAATGCAACATTGTTGTATTTGAGGACTAGCAACCACTTGTTTCTGAAGTGTGGGATTAGATTTTGGAACCTCCAGCCAATATTCCTTTGGATATCCAATCGCAGGGATTAATCATAGTCACAAACAAGGCAAGGTTCTGCAAAAATCAGTCTCCAACAGGGGAGAAATTATTCATCAATGTGGCTCATTACAATTAAAATGATTGTTTGGTGGCTTTCTACTTACTCGAGTTCATCAAAAAGGATTCCAGGATCTGCAGTTTTTGTTATCAATATTCTCAGATTTTTTATTATTTATCTGCAGGCAATATTCATTCTCGAGCAAAAGGCTCTTGCTGGCCTCATTGTCTGTTCTATCCCACAAACCATCAGAAGATCCTCAATCAATTCCAACTCTTCTTCCATCCTTCTCACTCCAAAATATAACTTCTTTTTCTTTCTTTCCATACATTTTCAAACCCAATAGAACCAAATCTACAAAAAGAAAAAATAAATAAAGAATTGTGGAGAAGCAGAGAATTCTGCTCGTGTTGCCACTCCAATTACCATTATCTCAATCATCATCAAGTAATCCAACTGCTGCAACTGCCAGCCATTCTCATTCCTGTCCACGTGAATTACCATCTCTACTGAAATTTTGGAAGCCTCAATTCCTAGTACTCGTTGTTTCTTTCACCATCAAAACTCCTAATTTCTTTCTTAAAAGTGAATATATACACACACACACACACACACACACAATTCTGGACTTCTGAAATTAAGGGCTTCAAGATGAAGAATCTACGATAATGATCCTTCTTTTTTATGGTCTACACTGTACAGATTAAAATAGATCAAATTCCTTTAACGCCTCCCGCAACAGAAGTGAATTGAAGCCTTTAACCATCTGGATAATTTTACTGGAGAAATTCCTGTGATTACTTATGGAGGGTTTGGTCATCTTCTGAAGAAGAGAGTAAAGGTAGGATGAAGAGAAGGCAAGAGGACTTAGGAGTACTGATTGGGAGAGATGTTAGAAGAGTATTTATGTCAGTTTAAGGCATGAGAAAAGGAATGGAAAACAATTCCTGGCAATGGAAACTAATTTTTAAGCATTTTACCATTACCTTCCGAAAAAAAAAAAAAAAAAAAGGGAATGGAAAACAAGATGCTTTTATTGGAAGCGCCAATATTGCCACCCATATTTATAGTTACCTCTTGTATCATGGGTTGAGCTTACAGAATGTTGTAATTCATTGAATTATAGTGCATGTTCATTTAGCAGACCAATCAATGCTATTAAAATCCTAGAAGCCGTGAAGATGTACTAACAAAACAGATATAAGAGGAGTGTAAGCCCTCTAAAACAACTCCATGATTAATTAATACAACCTACTGAGAAGCCACATTTAGTTATATATATCCTGTTTCACTATTGTGCACCTACCAAATCATTTACAAAAACCATACTTTTTCCTTCCATTCCACATCAACAGAACAGTGGCCTATAACCAGAAAGTATAATTATCCTCTGGAGATACTATTCAATGAAGGCTCCATTGAATCCAATAAAAAGATGCAAGATAAAGTATAAGAAGACAAAGACGGTCTATAAATTTTATGGTAACAAAGAAACCCCAAGTAAATACCTTCACTTCATCAAAAAGTTTTCTCTCCCATGCATACAGTCTGTCTAGAGTGGAGGAGTTGCTTCCTGCTATCATGCCAAACTCATCAGCAAGATCATTTCCACTGTCATCATTGTTTTCCTTTGCTACTGTGGCAATAGGATTACTTGATGAAGATGACCGTGAAGATGTTGACCTGTTCCAATCAATAACCTTGATCACATGCTGTGGAGGTTCTGTAAACATTAAAAGTTAGATTATGGCAACAGAAGACAGGAAATGTTTTGTAAACAAATCTGCCTATGACTTGAAAGAGGCCTTTTGTTTATCTGATGCAGACGACAGCCCCTATTGATGTAAATAGATTCCACCTATTACCTTCAAAGTAAAAATCTGTTTCCCGATACAAATTTTAGCCCATTTATCACTGCTTGAAGAAAATTAAATAGCCAAAACATGTTGAAAGAGAGAAATAACAACGAAGATCAAATGATCCTACCCAACATAGTTAACCAAGGCAGATAACACAATTCTATGCAAATATTAGGATGCAAATGCCCACTCCTAAGCATCTCTGAAAGGACAAGGCTAAAATTAACTTCTCAAACTGTTCATTCTAATTATTCATGCCTGTATATGATCTAAATTTTACCATGAAGAACAAGTGCAGTCTCTCTCCTACAACAAACTAGTTGGAAAGCCGCCAAAAAAATCAACATGGATGACCTCTTTACAAGAATAGGTTGTTTTAAAGATCTCAACTAGAAAATCAGGAATTTAAACACTTGAGCTTATAAATAGTATTTGTGTTGTTCTGTACAAAAATAGAAATAAAAATCCATACTGTGCAACAAAGTTATACTAGACAAGCAGACAAATAATTACCTTTTGCCTCGGAATATCCAAATCGGAGTTTGTTCACCTCAAGCATCCTAGAAATCTCCTTGCCAGACTCAGATGCTCTAAAGAAACCCTGCTCAATGTCCTTTATGCTTGATTGAAAATCTTGAGCCCGGTGGGTGATAAATTCCGAAGGACCCCCTCTTTCTGCAGGCATATCTTTGTCCACCACACTCTCATCCGTCTTTGAACTTGACTGTTTGAAAGCTGCCTTGCCAATCAATGTTCCAGCCAATACACTAACATTCTGTTCAGCCTCTAGTTGTTTTGCCTCACTATTAACTGTTTGTCCACCACCCTTAATTCTTTGAGGTGTAAGGGAATGGGCAATGTGTGCCGTCCATTGGTCTCTCCCATCATTGTGAGTCTCTGAATCACTTGAAACCTTGTACTCTTCATTCTCAATTTTGGTTCTAATGGGTCGTTCGGGAAGTCGGATATGATCAAAATTCACATGCAACCCATCCTCTCCGACGAACCTAGAACCCTCACAATCATCATAGGGGTCAAAGAAATCCCAAGAAGACCCTGACTCAGGATGTGGAGGCGGCGGTGGTGGCGGCGGCATTGTAAATGGCATCGATTCACTATCATCCATAAAACTATTAGTACTAGTTAGATTGAACCTAACAGTCACAGCATTAGTCCCTCCTGACCTCATATAACTCAATTTAGGCACAGGTAGAGAAAGAAAGCTCTCATTGTGCGGAGAGGGTGATGTGTAGGACAAATGAATTGGGGTTTTGTCAATTTCAGTGGCCGGAGGGGACAGAGACGACTCTATCAACACTTGGGCCTCCACGAATCGCCGAAGTAAAATGCCAATATTACGAAGAGATTGAAGATAAGCAACATGAGCAGAAGCTAAAGCGTACCTCGAATCAATAGCTTGTTTGATGAATTTCTTCCTCTCCTTGCAAAGTCGAAGAGCTTCGCTCTTCTCAGCTTTCGAACTTGCGGAACCCATTTTTGGGTCAAAACGGAACAGAAAATTTTACAGAATTAACCTCGCAGTTTCTGAGCATCCAAACACAATCTGTCAAACATAAACAAAACCCATAGAAAAACATTTGTGTTTTTTGCAGTGCAATGGCGTTAGTGTTATTGCTATTACTTTATGCAGGGAAAAGCCCAGGTGACGAAAGAAACCCTAGCTTTCCACGTGGGACGCTCAAACGGCTCCATTTTATATAAAGGTTATTTCAGGGAATAATGTGATGCACTTTTACTTTCCTCCCAAATTTTCCCGAGAAAATTATGGCTGGTGGGTAGTGGGCGCGCCCGCCAAACTGCCACAATGTACTGGAGTAGGGATCCCACTATGGAAAGGCCCATTCTCTCTATAAATCAACCCATGGTCGAATATTCCTTCCCTTTATATATTAAATTAACCCAATTTCTTTTTAACTGAATATTCGATCAGCATTAGAAATATACAACCTTTAATCCATTGCGTGATCATATCAAAGAAAATGATAAAGGATGCGTTTTCAATTGATGCATTTGATTTACACGCCATGAGAGAAATTCTATTTTATCTACTAAGACATTTTTTTCTTTGGGCGCTCCTGATTGTGTCGCACAAAATTTCATTCTCAATCGTAATATTATTCAAAACTAGTAGACCATTGGGATCTTTTTAGCTTGGTGCATATTAAATAGTTAAATTGAAAATTAGACCGAATAAAATCAAAAAAAGATAGCGATACATTAAATACTGAAGTGTTAATATTATATGAGATTTAGGCACGCGCATTTGTGGTGAACTTCTAACCTCTTTTTTCTTCTCCAATATTGTCATGTGTCTAATGTTCAAAGCCGGACTCCAAAAACAACGGAACTATGAAGGAGTTGGGATTCAAAACGAACTTGAATGGTGGCGTTATTTGTCTATGATTTTGTTTCTTACTCACGAAGTATATATATAGAATGAAAAGTACTCCATTCAGATCCAATTTGGAATCCGATGTGTTTCGGCGTCACTCCTAAGGGTGAAAAAGAAAAAGTTGGGCTTGGTCTTGTCTCAAATGCCTTTTCTTTTCTTTTTTTTGGAAAAGGTCCATTAAAGTAAAAATCTTCTTTTGTTTAAGGATGGGCCTTTTGGGCTGCTATGACAATTCAGCTGCTCTTGGCCCATTACTCTAGGGGTCGATGGATCCGAAACTTAGGTCCATCACAGCTTTTGGAAAATCTTGAATTATTTCACACACGATGCATACTTTCTGTATACATCAATCACCAGATCAAATGTTATACACACATATATAATATAATCAAAGATTATGATTTAGTTTTATCAAATGTGATTAAAGAAACGTGGAAATCAAAGTTTCACGAGATCTTGTGATATATTTCAAATACTAACATTTATATTAAAATTAGGATTAAATATAAAGTACACTGGCATTCATCTAGTTAACCGAAATTAAAGAAATCTCTTTTATGCATTCAAAAGTTAAACACTTGATTAAATGCAAAAATAATAATAATAATAATTCTAAACTATGTTTTTATTTTTTTCCCAGCCCTAAATTATGTTAAAACCAGCAATACTAGTACGGAGTATTTCATTAGAAAATAACAGACACAATACTAGTATTTCATGAGAATAACACACAAAACACTATGATGTTGCCTAATGAGCATAATTATGAAGATAAATCAATTATCTAGCAAAAAAGCACTCAAAGTCAAAGCGAAGACCTATAAATATCCGCAACTAGAACAGAGGACATAGAATCGAATCCCATCTTTTCAACGTCCCAAATGTTTACTACAGTACTTTTTACCCACTTTTCACTCCTCAACAATTACTAACAACTACTAGTACTACATTAAAAAGTCCATTGATAACAACAATAACCCCTACATAATATATTATAATATAATATAATATATTTAACTTGTCGCAGTTACTTCTCCAACTACAAACGGGGACTCGTTGGTCATTTCATCGATTGTTTTGAAGAAAATTTCTTTCTGGGAATGCATTTCCCTTTCACAGCTTTTCCTCTCTTGGATTCCTCCTCCACAGCTTCTCCCAACCCTACCTTGGAGCTCCTGACAATCAAAACACAATAATTCAATATATATATATATAATATTTTATGAGATTATGAACTTATCTATTGTGTATTTTTCATTCATATTCTTTTGTTGCCGTACAATACTCCAGTTAGTAAGAATGTTCTCCAAATTATTAATCTAACACAATCAATTGAAACATGTAATTGTTCTTCAATTTTATACATAAAAATAAAATAAAATAAGTGGAAATTCTCTCACCTCTTTTCTTTCATAATCAATGTTTGATCATATGTAGAAATATATATTTTATTGTCTCATAGCAACTCCATCAGTGCTCTTTTCGGCGAAACTGGGCCAATTTTTAAAAATTGAATGCTCCAATAGACTATGAAAAAAGTGAGCCCTAAAGAATGTCGAAGTAGCTAGAAAGCAAGAGTGGGTTGACGATTGGGCTCATTTTTTGTAGGGCCATTTTCGTTTTCTTATATTTTTTAAATTCAGGCCAAAATACTATTCCTAAGCCCAAGCCCAGAACATTATTCCTAAAGGCATTTTTGGCTAAAATAAAAACTAAAATTCAGATTTTTGGCTTACTTTGCTTGCTCTTTTTTTTCTCTTAAAATAATTGAACCAAAGAGCCGTTAAGGCACTGACACTATTTGTCTGACACAAACAGACAAACAGGGCCTTTTTTTAGGCAAAAAAAAAAAAGTTTTAAAAAATTGAAAAAAGTTTTTTTTTTTGCCGTTTTTAAATTTTTTAATGTTCCTATTGACATTAGTGAGGAAAAAGTTAAAAAAATAAATTTTATTTTAAAATTTAAAAATATTAAAATATTAATATTTTAAAAATACGAAAATGCACCATTAGAGTATATGCGATAATTAAAATTTAGAGACTCTTTGGCTATAAAAAATGTTTATGTGGCTATTAGAAAATGCTGTGACAAATTAGGATAGCCTAATTTTAGAAAGTCTATTAAGTCTATTGGAATTTGAAAAGTATGGGAGAAATTTTTAGATGATTTTGGAACAGTGATCAAAAAGCTAACTAAAATAATTTACTTATGTGGATATCAGCCACCACGGAATTACTTCTCACGGCAATTAATTTTAGTCAAAGTAAAATATATATATATATATATATATATATATAACAATAAAAAATACTAATAATAATAACGTCTTAGCAAATTAACCCATAAACGTCACTAACCTTTCTTCAGTGTAGGAAGACGATTTCTTCAACACTGGTTGTACCTGAACTTGCTCCTCCATCATGGACTCAACGATACTCCCACTGAAGTAATCTTTCTCCTCCGATAGCAAATTCCCGAACCGCGGGTTCTCCGACATGCAGCAGATCTCATCATCTTCCTCCACCACCACCTTCGCCGCCGCCGTAGTCTTACACAGCACCCCTTTGTGGAGACTAGTACTCTTCCTCGCGGCCATCGTGCACGGCGGCTGTTGCTTCACCACCGGCACGCTCTTCCCTCTCATCGACCCACCACACGCAATGAGTTGGAGCAGCACCGAGTTGCGACTCTGGGACGCGACCGGGTCACCGTCCTCGAACCGCTTAGATGTGTTGTTGCTGGTTTCATTGGGCTTGTCAGAGAGTATTGAGGAAGTGGTTGATGGAGGGGACGAGTTGTTGTCCAGAGTCAACTCAGTGGTGGGGTTGCTTTTTGGGGCCTCGTTTTGAAGTGTATATTCGGTCTCGGTTTCGTCTGTGCAGACTCCTCTGGAGCATCGAGAGTGGGTCGACGCGTTTGAGCTTGTATAGCTTGTCTTTTCTTCATATTCTAGTTCTTCTTCCTCTTCTACATTTTCTTCTTCGTATCTGTTACTACTGTTGAGGACTTCTTCTGGTTCAGGGTGTCGTTTTGGTGCTCTTGCTTTGCGTTTTGGGTGGAAATTTAAAGTTGGGTCTGGGACTCGTTGTCTGTTGCTAAGCTGTGGCTCTGGATATTTTTCTATTTTAAACAGAATTTGTCATTATTTAAAGAAGCAAAACAATAATGACAAAAACAATAAAATGGTGTTTTAGCTATAAAAGGGGGAGACTAACCAGTGCAAGTACCTCCTACGAGTTCAGAACCCTTAAGGACGTATTCATCTCCTTCTGATGCATAGATGATATCGTTGTCTGCTAAGTCATTCCACACATAACCATTCTTGTAGCTCCTGTCATTAGTCATCACTATTCAACTACATAAACAATATTACTACTATATGTTTGCATATTGTATGTATAGAGACTATATATGTAGTACTCTATATGAAGTGTATACTTTCATAAACCACATGAAAATCACTACTATTTGGATTCTATAATCGAAAAAGAAAAACCATAAATGTAACTATATATAAATATGTGTGTGTGTGTGTGTGTGTGCATATGGAACATAGAAGTTGAGGAAATCAAATAGAATAAAGACGAAGAATTAGCATATATACCTTTTACAAGACCATGAATAAAGAGAGGGCATGCCTTTACCTCTGAGAACCGTGAGCCTCTCCATTACATCTACATATGCACAAACATAGCCAGTATATATATATATATATTAAAAAAAAAAAAAAATCTGTGTGTGATTGCGTGAGAGAGATCATATATACATATATAAGTAGGTACCTTTCAAACGGAGAGGTTGATGTGAGAAATGGGTGACTTCCATGTAATGGGGATGCTCAAGCTGAGCATTTCGGTAGAGGTAATACACAACTTGAACTTTTCTGAAAGTGGGCTTCACCAAAGTCCTTGGCTGCACCTGCACACATACTTTCGCCCTCTCTGGACTGCTCTCTCTGAATCTCCTTCCTCTAACATCCATATTCATATTCTTAATTTCTCTTTCACCTCCTTTCTCATTCAAAATCACTCTCTCTCTCTCTCTCTATATCTATCTTTTTCTTTTGGTTCGTTGAAAATGAAATATAACCAACACTTTTGGCCCTTTTATTGTAACTGAGTGATCCAGTACTACTACTAGTAATCACTACACGGGGAGGAAAGAGACTGAGGGAATGCCTCGATAAACGTTATACAGAAATTCTTACTTTTTGATATGATGCTCGTGAAAGGGAGAGAGTATCTGTATTCTGTACTAGTATCTGTGTAAGTTCTGGATCCATACTGTTTAATTCTGTACGATTTTTGTCTGCTTCTCATCCAAATTTACTGTGCCAAAAAGCATTTAATCATATTTATACCTCTCTAAATTGTTTTTTTGCCAGCTCTGCGTTATGACATTAAAGTGTGTTGTTTGACATTTAATCAACTTTTTTTTTTTCTTCCTTCACTTTTTAAGCTTTAAAAGCTTAACATGTGACAACTGTTGCTTGCTCTCCAGCTTCATTGCAGTAGACTTGAAACCGGTAAATTATAGTTGACTAATCAAGTTGACAATACTACCTCAGATGTCTCATGAAGTTTCATTGAATTGAAACTATATGGTATAACAGTTTTTTTTCTTCTACTACGTTTCCTTTGTCAGATGCACTCCTTTTAATGCCTTAAGTACATATGTTAATTGGATAGATCTAACAAACATTTTCGTAACTCAAATTTATTGCTACACCTATATACTCGTCAGTTTCTTACTACTACTGAAAAATGAGTGTGGACTGTGGAGGTTGTTTGGCCTAATTATAATTTGTACACACACATGCACCTACCTTATTCCAGTTTCCTTGCTGACCTTAACTTGCTCCTTTGATCAACCCATGCCTTGTCGTGGTAGTAGATTCAAAACCCTAATTTTGGCATGGTCTCCAGTCTCCATTGCAAGCTATTGAAGCAATTCAACATGTCAATGACCAAGTATGGCAGCACAATTGTAAAAAGATAACGGTTTGACTTCAAAGTCCGAAAATGACAACATTCTTGACATAATGGTAACATTAATTTTAGTCGTTAAAAATTATTCGAACTTGTCTTACTACTCTCTAGTAAAAAGTGAAGTATAAATATCTGCGTGTAAACTTTAATTTTGTACTAATAGTGATGTGTTCATTTTAATTATGGTTGTTTAAAGCGAATTAGTTTCTTGGCCTTCTTTTTGTTGGGGCATAATTATGGTTTAGAGATGTAATTTAAAGCGAAGTAGTTTTGTTGGACTTATTGGTATTGATTGGGCATCCTATGCCATAACAACAGTACCGTACTCTAAAGCTGGATCCATGTTTGAAAAAGCTTGAATAAATCCTGATGGACCTACTTAATTAACTACTCGCAATCAAAATATATTTCACTCTCAAATCATCATGGTTTAATTTTAGAATTATGGCTTTTAAAAAGTGGACGAGGGTTAATAATTCTTGAAATGATGGTGTTTGATTAGCATCCTAGGCTCTAATTACATAATCTATACCTTTTTTTTTTTTTCTTCTTATTTTTCACTTTTTGAGTACTTCTTTAGAAAATAAGTTGACTTTATAAAATTATCCGTTATTCTTTCTTAAATTTACGTGATCTATGCTATCTTAGTTCCCTCATGTACCGGTAAAATGCGTGACATGTGCTTCTATGATTGCTAATTTGCTATTTATTACGGTGGTATCCTAATTAGGATTGGGACTTGCGTGTGGATCAAGGATACGCTCATGCCAAACCTAAAGTTTTAATACCTTAATTTACGCCAAGTCCAAATATTATGAAATCCATTACAATTCAACCCACGCCATACCACATGAATTGCACCGGTTTTTCCCCGTATTACTAAATAAACATTACAAAGCTTGTGGACTTAATGAAAATTTCCTTTTACTAGGATTTGGAAAGGATTTAAAATCATATGCTTTTTATTATTTTGTTTTCATAACTAAAAATTAATTGCTATAATTTTTTTTTTTTACTTTAAAATTTTAAAGTAAGCATGTCAATGTGAATACCCTAATATAAATATTAAATCGCCTAGTTTTAACTTTATTTTACATAAAAGAGGTATAACATTTAAATATATATATATATATATATATATATATATATATATTTCTCGTATTTTGAGTTCCTCGGGTTGTTCGGATCAGTAAAATCTTTGCTCAAATTCTACTCAAAATAAATTCTAATTTTAAAATTTAAACACAATTCCAATCCCAAGGTCCCAGTACCGCCCACGCAAATAAAATTATCAGACAGGCAATCACGCTACTCGGGTTAGTCCCACCCCTAATCCTATTTGACCCCCTAATTTTTCGTCAAGAATGAACGCATTTCCTTGCAACAGTAGGTTGTTTCAACTATTCATACAGGCAGGGATTGGGGGTCGGCATAAATTGGGCTGCCTACACATGAGTGTATGTGCAGACTCCAATCTATGCTTGTGAGTAATTGGTTGTACCAATTTCAGTGAATTTGTCGGTGAAAAGGATAATATTGGAATAAAAAATAAAAAATAAAAATCCAATGCGGTTGTTTGCGTAAATCACTTGTAATTGCTCTTGCCCAAAATTTTGAAAGATTTTGATTTTTTTTTCTTTTTATTCATCAAAATTGTATTTGTTTCAATTCATCATCGGACATGGGCCATATTTTGGTGCAAACAGAAAATCACAGTTGCTTTTCAGAAGAACAATGAAGAGTAAACTCAAGACAACAACTTTTGAAAAATAAAATATAAAAAAATACAAGGGACTGTTATTTGAAATCATATAATTTTTAATTTTTTTTTTTTTTAACTATCATATAAAAGTTTCAAGAATCGCTAATCAATTTAATTTCTGATCTTATTTAATTTTTTTTATATATGTTATCCAGGAATTGAAATTAAACTTTAGAAATTGAACTAATCGTATGTTTTATATTTACGGACCTTAAATTAATAAAATGTAAAAGGTAATGAATAAACCCCCAGACGTTGAGGGAACAAGACCACACTGATTTTGTCAGTCGCACCTCTATTGTCTCCTGCTACTCCAACAAGGATTCTTCTTATCCCACTGCCAAAATCGTTGCTTCCAAAGCTACATTTTGTGATTCACCCAAAGGTGAAAAACATTTCACGATACTGTGTAATTGATCATAGAAGTAACTGTAGGGGTGGTTCAACTTATCTATGTATGCCACGTATATATTATAAACGTCCTATATTAACAACATTTGTAGAAACTAGTTAAGTCATATTCGCTAAAAGACCCCATCGATACACGAGTGTTACGCCACTAGACCAGGTCAATTAAAAGTTTTAAATGGTCATCACGAACGAGCAAACTAAATCCTAACAGTGCGATAGGTCAATTAAAAGCCTCAAATGCTTAGCACCAATGAGCAAACCAAACCCTAGCAGTGTGCTTGGTCACCAATGAGCAAACCAAGCCCTAGCAATGCGCTAGGTCATTCAATAGCTATCGCCCACAAACAATCAAGCCCTCGCATCACGACATTTAGAAAAAGCTGTGAGTGGCGCATACAACAATTAAGCATCAAGGCCGTTCTAAATCTCCAGAAATTCCCAAAGACTTTTGAGAAGATTAGAACACCATGCCATACAACAAAAGACAAATCATGGGCAAATATCCTAAGATACTGATAGGGTGTCCTCAAACATGGGGAGCTTCTCCCCATAGAGATCTTTAAAAGGATTTGGCTGGTGGATGAGGAATTAGAACTTGCTTGGTAAATGAGTCTGGTTAGTGAGACGATGGATGCACAATATGAAGAAGAAATTTTGCATCACATTTAAAACTTTGACGCAGTCATAATCAACTTGGCTATTGCTAGGTGTAAAACATGTCATGAATACATTTAATGCGATAGATAAAGTTTAACCAGCAGATTTCAGGACTTGATCAGAGGAAGCAACCTCTTAGAGTACCATCATCATGCCTACTTCAGTAACCATGACTCATGATGATGATCCTGATTAAAATATCTAAGGTGTATTGAGGCTATAAATAGGAGCCTTTACATAAGCATTAAAGGGGGCAAGAAAAACAGATAAGAGAATGATGCATTAAGTTTAATTCTGATAGCGCACCCGTGTCTTCACCAACTTACTCATTTATCAGTCTACGTTCTCCTCCTTCTCTAGCCTTCTATGAATTTTTCACATTTGTGTTTAAAGATACCACCATTTGCTTACCTTTGACTTCTTGTAAGAAACGACCCTCCTAATAGATCATGGAAGTAAGAATTTGGATTAATTAATAAAACTTAATTAGAATAATGTGGATACTTTTGAATTTCTATTCTTGCAGGGACAGCACGTGTAACACAGACAGCAATGTAGTTCATCTTCGTATATACTGTGTAATACACGCCATATTCGTACTGTGTAGATATGGGCTAGTGCCTAAGAAGTGACTCTGACCAAATGTTGCAGTTGGGGACCCTGGCTAAGTTACTCTAGAGAGAGAGAGAGAGAGAGAGAGAGAGTTAACAGAGGGTGCCAGAAAAAGATCAACTTTTTATCCAGTGGAGTGGGCATGATGTGACTGAGAAGCTGGTTCTGGTCTGGTCAGTTGCTAGTTGATAGCTAGATACGTGAGTAGGTTTCGTAAAAGTGGTATAAACCAGTACATTTTTCCTGTGACAGCTAGCTATTTGATGCAAACATCGGGGATGGAATTACTGTAACTTTGGTTAAACCAAAATTTACCCTAACATTTACTGTTTATATGCTACTCCATACATACAACCGCCAAAAATGAATGTAACATTTTCTGATCATATACACTACTATAATTATATGGTCATTATTAACCTATATATCCTTTTCCCTTTTTGGAGAGAAAAAAAAAACCTATCCTTTTCCTTTTCAATTGCATTCTCAAAAGTGAAAAGCTAGCACATCTCAATTACGTCCGTATACCTAACTCTGTAAATGGCGCGTTAAAGAAT